AGATGAACCCCCCAGATGGCTGGACCAGCCCGGCCTCCCCATCCCTTTGTGCAGCCGGGGCTGCTCTGCCAGCCCTATGTGGTCCCAGCCACCCTGTGCCCATCCTGGGATCCCAGTGCCTTCCCTGAGCTGGAGCTGTTTGAATTCACCTGGTGCCACCCTGTATAGCACCTGGGGCTGCCATTTGAGCAGCCCTCTCTTCCTCCAAGGCATCCAGCTCCCTCTGAAGACACCAAAAGGCTGTGCCCCAGCAGCTCATTGCAGTGGCAGACTGTGCTCATTGCTGAGGTCTGTGACGTGCTGACTCCTCTGAGGACACGGGGGAAGGTGGGTGCTGGGGGTGATGCCTGGTGTGATGCCAGAGCCTGCCATGGTGAGGGGACCCACAAAGGGCTGAGGATGGAGGGCTGAGGATCAGGGCATCCCTCCCGTGGGTAGCAGCACCCAGGGCCCTGTTCTGCTGGCTGCAAGGTCCCACATGGCTCCTGAGAGCTAAGGAGCCTCTCCATGCCTTGCAGGACCTTGCAGGGGATGCAGCCGTGCTCTAACTCTACAACCCCTGGTCCCCACTAACTCTTCAGGCACCTGAAACTGGGAGCAGCCACAGGATAGGCCACAAGTTTGGTTTCCACACTGGAGAGCCCAGGAGAGCAGGCAGTGGCTGCTTGGCAAAGTGCTGTGTCCTTGGAGAGGTGTGGGCAGGTATGATGCCCCTTGGCTCAGCACTGTTCTTTCCTGTCCCATGTCGCTGACATGAGGCGTCAAAGCTGCTCTGCACAGCCACGACATCCCATGCTCCCCCTCTGACACCTCCAGCTCCCCCAGGACTCCCACCAGAGCTCGTGAATTTGGCCAGCCCTCCCCAAACAACCCCAGGACGAATCGATACTGTACAGTGAGGGCAGTGGGCTCTGTGGGAACAGGGCAAGCAGAGCCCCCTCAGCCCTCACTGCCGCTTTCCTCTTTGCACTAAACGTGTGTCCTCGCAAGCCTGCCTCGGACAGCGCTGGGTTTGGGGACTGGGTTTGTTATTAGTGGGTTTTGGTTTTGGTTTGTTGGGGTTTTTTAAACTAAGAACAGCAATAAACTATATTTTAATATGCCTTGCTGGTGTGCTGTCAGCCAGGAGCCAAGGCTGCTGGCATGGAGGGTGCTGCGGGGTGGAGAGAACTTCCCTACAGTGGAAACCCCTCTGAGATTTAGCAGAAATGAAGCTGTAGCCCTAGTCTCTGCTGCCCTGGATCACTGGGATGCACGTGTCAGGAGAGACATCCCCTTCCAGGGCACAGGCACTGCTGTCTGCCCACACCACACACGCCGTGGTGGGAGGGTGCAGGACCCTGCACAGCGTGGGGATGGAGCGACCACAGGACACTGCTCCAGTGAGAGGGATTTATTCATCTGCTGCTGGCAGCAGCAGGTCCCTGCCAGGCCACAGTGGTCACTCTGCCTTGCCACAGGTCCACTGCTATGGGAGAAACAGTCCTGCACCCTGGATCCTTATGGTCCTCTCCCCCCCCCATGACACCCCTCCTCTGCTGCAGACCCTTTTCCCTTTTCCCCAGCAGGGACTGTAGACATTCCAGAGCTCTGTGCACACCAGCCAGGGGCAGAGTCATGCATGGATGGCCCCAATGGAAGGTGCTGGGACAGTGGTAGCAGGTAACTTCCAGAAGCAAGCTGTGAGAAAAAGGAAAAGATCCTCGTGCAAGGGGTTGCAGCAGTGCTGGGCTACAGCCAAGAAGTGTAAAGGAAGGAAGGGAGATGTCCCTTTCTTCTCCCAGGCTCTCCTTCAGCTTTGAAGTCAGTTCTAGGACAGCAGCCTGGGAGCTGAAATGCCCTAGTCCACACCATGGGCACTCTCCACCCCAAAACACAGAAATTCTCCACCCTAAACCACGGGCTAACCTCATCCCAAGTGGACACTCAGCTGGGACTTTTCTCCAAACAAAAATCCATATCTAGCCTGTTTCCCATCCCATGAGTGCCAAGTTTCATGTCACAGAATGAAGTCCTGGAGGCAGGCTCATGACTTGTGCTGTGAGGACATGGGCAGGAGAGGGTTGCCATGGGGAGGAAGCACAGAACCCTCCCCAAACTCAGAGTGCAATGTGAGATGTGCCCAGCTCAGAGGGCAGCTCTGCTGGTGCTGGCTGTCACTGGGAGCATTAGTGATCCTGGGGGGCAGAGAGCTACTGAAGCAGTGCCAGGGACTGGGAAGGTGTTAAGCTGAGCCACTGCTCCTTGTCCACAGACCAGACATCTCCTGACGTGCATCTGGAGGATGGGAAGCACAAGGACTGGCCATGTCTCACAGACCCTGAGCACTGGCAAGTGATCAGGCTCCTCTGTCCAACGCAGGGGAGGTCATCCTGCAGAGCAAGGGGACCTGGTGACAGAGCTGGGTGACAACTGACTCCCTCAGCTCAGCTTCAGCAGGGTGCCCATGGCACCTCCTGAGTGCAGACACTTGCCACGCATCCCCAGGCGAGGGCACTCCCAGACCAGCACACAAAGCAGGACCAATTTTGCTCTGCAGTGCCCTGGGGTGACCTGAGCGTCCCCATTGCCCCACTTGGGTCCTGACCTGCTGAGCTGCAGGAAAGCTCCTGCCTGGAGAGAAACTGCACAGGTCTGAGCCAGCGAGTTCACATCTCTGCAGCCTGTCAGCCCTGCAGCCCTCTCCAGGCACATTTTCCGAACACTCCACAATCAGGCTCCAGATTCTGGGGCTCCCAGTCCCCACCCACATCCCAGTCAACTTCCCAGCCAGGCCAAGCAGCTCAGACCACTGAGAGGGAGGTGCAGCAGGAGTCAGTGGCCTGGACATCGCAGCTTGGACCTGTCAAACCACAAAGCCTTTTTTGGCTGAAGAATGGGGTCCAGCACGACAGCTCTAATGCTGCTCCTCTGTCCCACTTTGGGGACCCATCTGGAGCTATGGAGCCATCACAAAGGCAACTTGCATGGGGAGGCTGGCTGACAGGGCCTCACTCAGTGAGGTCCCAGGTCCCTGCCAGATACACAAACACGTGCTGGACAGTGCTTGAGGTGGCTACGAGTGTTTGGGATAGCTCTGGGCTGTCCCAGAGGTGGCAGGGCAGCTGCAGTGACAGGTAGGAGGGAGAGCAGGCGGAGCAGGGTGGGCTCACTGTAGCTCTGCCTCCTGTGGCTTTCAAAGGCAAATGTTCCTTGGTACTGACAGCCTGCAAAACATTAAAGCTTGACTTTCCCCTGTTGTTTCAGGGGCCACCACGTCCCCCATGTTTGTCAGGCACAATGGTTCCCATGCAGAGGCTGTGAAAGCCCCATTAGCCCCCACACAGCAATTTTCCCCTCTCCAGCATTTTCATAGGCTGGCAGCTCCGCTCTCCAAGAATTAGTAATAAGAAATACCCTCTTGCAAAGTCCTAAACCTGCTGTTTCTAATAAAGAGCTGTTTGCAGCTGCATCTTTCTCGTTCCTTTGATCTGGCACCGGCAGAAGCTGAAAACACCACGGAGAGGAGGCAGGAACAGCCCATTGATCGGGTGAGTCAGAGCTTTCACCAGCCCCCGCACCAGGACCTGCGGGTACAGCACTGTGCCTTGGGCCCGAGGCTGGCACCAGGATGGCATCTGACCTCAGAGGTGATGGTGCTGTGGGGTGGGCTGGGTGCCTGAGGCCCGGTCGCTGGCTCACCCCTCTCCATGCTGTGGAGGCAGTGTGGGATGCTGAGGTAGGAGCAGGGTGTATGCACGTGCCTGAGGCTGCAGTGGTGATGAAGGGACTGGCCAGGCCTGCCTGAGGCTGGGGGCCTGCTTGGGGCTGGGGGCTTACACCTGACCCAGCTCCATCCTGCTCAGCACAAAATGCCTGGTCAGGTAGAGCAAAACAGGATCTAATCCAGACACTCCACCCAGACCCCTCGCTGCACAGAGGTCTCTGTTGGGACATGCTGGGACCTCTGTCCCAGCAAGTGTCACACCTTTTCTCTCTGTGGCTCTGCAGAGTCCCACATGCTGCTTGCACCTCTGAGGCAAAGCAGAAAAACCCCTCTTGCATCCAAGAGATTGGAAACTTCAGATGCTAAATGCCATCTTGAAATGTCACAAGCCTTCTGCCTTTTTCCACTCTGCATGAACAACTCTTTCATATCAGTGGGGACATCCCAGCTGCTTCAGCCACCCCTGGGCCAGGGCGAGCCTTCTGCTGCCACTGAGTAACTGCGTGAATCACCTGTGGAGATCCCAGCACCATTGCCCTGCCACAGATTCAGGAAAGAGCTGGTTCTCTTCTGATCTGCAGAGACCTGGCCAACTGTGCCCCAGTGTGAGCCTGGCACCTCCAACACAGTGGACGTGGATACCAGTTTCTCACCTGTTCCCAGATCCAGAGTAAATCTCATCAGTCCAGGAGCCTGAATTTGTCAGCAGAGCTGAACTCCACTGCTGCCAGCCTGTGGCACAGCACAAGGAGGTTTCCCCTCTCCCAAAATTGAATACAGCCAAAGATTGCTCCCAGACAAAAGGGTTCAGGACAGAAAGTCTTGCTGCCTGTGGAGTGCCCTGGGCAGCCCACCATCTGCACCTGAGACACCGAGGGTATGGGCTTTCCTTCCTGGGGGAAAGGGCTGTAGTTCGCTTGCAGGAGCCAAAATTGCAAGTCCGTTTCCCAAAACTGAACTGAGGACGTTTTCAACTTTGGATCTTCACATTCGGTGGTCTGGAGAGAACCATGATGCATTTACGTCTTTTTCAAGTACACACCGCTATCTAGTGGACGTTCCCCAATGTCACCGTTCCCCGGTTCCACTAGATGGCCGTGTGTACACGGAAAACAACAACCCAAAGTGCAGCTCCAAAGGTGGAAACGTTTTAGTCACCAGTCTCAAACGAAAGGTATCAGGACAGAAAGGGTTTGCTGACCTTCCCCCGGTTTTCCCAGTGCCTTTCCCAGCTGCTGTTCAGACACGGCTGTGCTGGGTCTGTAACACAGAAACAGTGAGCACAGAAGCCAGCTTTCTGTAATAAATGAGTGATATTTAAAAACAACTCCAGCCCACAGTCACTATTTCCAGAGAAGTAAAAAAACCCAATCTCCTCTTTCATTAAAGAGGGTTTATATATGAGTGTTACATAAATTTGCATTAGTATAGATACTGTACCACATATACACACATACCAGTAGATAAATAGATAAGAGTTTTGGGAGTTGAACTTTGGTCTCTTCTCCTTATGCTTTGGCTCCATAGCACCAAAACTCTGGAAGGGAAGCTCTGGAGATGCGGATCCTGCCCATCCATGGCAGCTGAGCCTGGAGCACTCCTGTGCCTGCCCACGGGAACCTGCCCCTGCCCTGTCCCCAGCCTGGCACCAGCAGGTTGGGGCAGGCAGCCACCATGGCTCGGGGGCACCTTGGGCTGTGCTGGGAGCTGGGGGCTCCTGGAGATCCCCAGGGTGCCCCCACTCACGGTGGCCCAGGTGGAGCACGTGGCTCGTAGCCGGAGAAGGCAGCTGCCCGCGGGACGTTGCCGGGCGAAGGCGGTGGCTGGCAGGGGCTGGGGATGCCCGGTGCTGCCTGCTCTGAGTGGCCTCGCTGCATGGTGCTGTCGCCTGGCTCAGTCCCGACGCCAGGCAGGGGCCGGAGAGCGCAGAGGAGCTGCCCTCCCTCCTCCTCCTCACCGGCCGGCAGCTTCACGGAGCTGAGTGGGACCCAGTGCCTGGCCATGCCGAGGCCCTCCCGCAGGTCCTCCTGACTGCAGCTCCTGCCGGGCATGGGCAGAGGAAGGCGGCTGCCTGCTCCTAGGGCTGGGCACTGGCATTTAGAATATAGCTGGAGGTGCGGGGTGAGCCATGTCTTGGGTGTACAGCTGTCCCTGTCACCTATGTAGCTGTTTCTGGTCAGTCCCACTGGCACCAGCTGCTCTGGCACATTATCCCCATCACTTGTCTCCTCATCTTTTTCCAGCTGTGATGGGACCTGGGAGCCCAAGGCATGTCCCAGCAGGCTCTGGGTGCAGGATGGGGCGCCTTCCGTGGGGCAGCCCAGGCCAAACCCGTTGGCACAGTAGCCGGTCATGTCCTGTGTGAGGCCTCGGAGGAACAGTGGGACCGTGGGTGATGCCTGTCCAGCTGCAGGTGGCCCACAGGAGGAGAGCACAGTCTGCAGGAGCAGGGCCAGCGGCTCCTCCTCAAGCTCGAGGGGAGGCATCCGGATGGCCACACTCAGCTCGTTGTTCAGGAGTGCCTGCAGGGACAGAAGCAGTGACAGGCTCAGCCTCAGCCAGCTGAAACCCCTGCCAGCGTGGGGGCCGTGCTGCTGAGACCCCTCCTGCACTGTGACCCACAGCTGGCTGATGCACTCCACCTGTACCTTCCCATTGGGGTACAGTGGTTTGGACAGCAGAGGAGGCACCTGGCTACCAAGATGGGCTTGGTGGGGCGAGAGGTGGAGGGAAGGAGGTGCTGAGCCCCTGCAAACAGAGGGTATCCCAGCTCGGCTGTGGCACACATGGGGCAGAGGCTGGAGGAGGATCGTCACTCACCAGTGTTTTTGGGAGGTGCATCTCCGAGGGTTTAAGGAATATGTGCAGCTGGAAGAAGCAGAACCCGGCCGCACTCAGCAGCAGCAGCACAAAGAAGGCACTCACCACAGCAGGGACCCAGGGAAAGCCTGTTGGGAGGTCACAGCAGACCGACAGGTGGAAAGACACCAGCACATCCCTCCCAGCCCACCCTGTGCCAGTGTTTCCCCTGGAGCCCCCGTGGCAGGCTGGGATGTTCGAGGAGGCAAGCCCAAGGCAGAGGGTGAGACAGCATCGCCCTGAGAGGTCCCCCCAGGGCAGTGCTGGGTCACAACCCTGATCACAATGGCTGGGGGTGAGGGACCCACACGCAAGACTGCAGGACCCGAGATGCAACCGCGCCGGCTGAGCTGGCGAGAGTGCTCCTCCCACCTGGGGGGCCTGCCGGAGTCACCAGGCACTGCTCGGCCTCCCGGCTCCTCTCCCTGGCCATGCCAGCGGCTGCCGTCCGGACACAGTACCGTGTGCTGGGCTTCAGGGGCCCAAAGGTGCAAGGCACTTCCTCGCTGCTCCGTTTGCAGGGCACCTGGAAGTCGATGGGACAGGTGACCACAGTGGCTGTGCATGGCTCCACTGCCCAGCGCAGCCTCAGTGTCCCACTTGCTCCACAGCCCCTGCTCCCTGGCACCTCCAGTGCTTGGTTCTTCGCCCCAGAAGGTGTTCAGGTCCCAGAGTGCCTTCTGGAACCACTGTGGCATCACCTTTCATCTGAACAGAACCCGTCACAGGTTCTCCTTACCCATGCAGACTGAGGGAGGAAAGGGGTCTCCTGCCTTGCTGGGGTGCGAGCCCCAGACTGGGGGAGCAGCCAGGTGTGGGCAGGGCTGGGGCACAGGCACCCCCACACCGAGGCAACCCGAGACGGCAGCTTTGCTGCCCCAGGAAATCTCATGCAAGCCCCGCAAGCTCCGAGCCCTGCCCAGCTGCCACACACCTGCTGGACAAGCAGGTCCCCCTCGTACAGGTGCAGCCAGTACCACAGTTTCAGCAGCACTCGGTCCACTGGCTTGTAGGAACCAGTTCTTCTCTGGTAGGGAGTGAGTGGCATGGCAATGTTTACGTGGAGGATTTGATCCTGGAGCAGCCAGGACAACTTGGGGGGCCCCACAATTGCTGTAGGGAGGGGGGGAAAAAGAAAAAAGAAAAGAAGAAAACTAAGTCCTTCAAAAGAAGGCAGGCATCTTGTTTCTCTAGAAATGATATTTTTCTATCTGACATCCTCCTCCCAGTGCGCAGAAGCTCCTTGGGTCTCGCCTGATGGCACTTTGTGCTGTGAAACCAGCTACAGGAAGGGCAGCCACCACCTCTTCATGACAGCCAACACTGCTTCTGCTTCCTCCTCACGCCGACAGACCTGTGGCACCACCGCTCCCAGTGCCAAGCCCTTCACCCCTGAGCCATCCCCCAGGGCCTGGAGACCCACTGCTGAGGGCAGCAATCACATTCTAGGTGAGCACACCCATTTCCATGCCAGTTGGATGCAGAGGGAATGAATGAGGGAACCCAAACAATGAATGTTGACCCCATTTAGCCACTGGCACGTTTGGTTCATGCAACAACCCCCTGTGAGGTGTGTCAGTGGTCTTGAGTCTTTCCTGTCCTCAAGAAACCCCCTGGCTTTCTGGACAGGACAGTTTGGGACTGAGAAGTGGCACATTCCTCCACCTGGTGAACATGGCAGCCAAGGTGAAGGCATCACCAGAGAGGCTGCTCCTGCCTGCCCCTGCCTGCCCCAGCTTCATCTTGCTGGAGCAAAAACACCTTTCAAAAGCCAAGCCTGGAGGTGTATCCTCTTTTCCCCAACTCACTGCATTCTCCAGAAACCCAAATTCTCACATTGTCTTGTTGGCCTTGGGCCTCCCATCCATCGTCCTCACCTCAGAGTGCCTCCTCTGTCCCCTTGCTCTTCACCCAGTCCTCCTCCAGCAGCTCTGCCCCATCCCTTTCCTCCAGTCAGAGTTCTTAGCACTTTTCCCACCAGTATCCTCATACGATTTCTCACTGTATCCCACCAGCTCTCTTCAAGGATCTCTCCCCCCATTTTTCCCCTCCCAGGAAGAGCCCAGCTGGAGGACCTCCCCTGTCCTTACTGTCTCTGTACAGCTGCAGCTCGCTGGAACTGGCCCACTCAGACTGCTCGCCTCCGGTCACCGCTCTCACCCGTGCCCAGTAGATATCGTGGATCCTGTCAAAATACAACTCACACTTCCAGGAGCCAGTGCTGTTCCCCCTGCAGGCATCTGCCTTGATCCAGCTCGAGGTCCTGCCCAGGGAGAAAGCACAGGGATTGTTCCTTTTTGGCACTTCCCCAGCCCAAAGGGAGGGCTGCCCAGCCACCGCCATCCTGCCAAGGCAGAAAGTGCAGGAAAGCCAAGGTGTCAGTCAACAATGTCCTGAGATGTGTGAGGAGGGGTGTCACCAGCAAGTCGAGTCCCTCTTGGGGACAGATGGCACCTGGCACTACACCCTGACCCGTGCTCTCTGTGATGAGGAAACATATGTGGGCAGGGAGTGCCCACCGAGGGGTTGAGGCTCTGTGCTACAAGGGAGGCCAAGTGAGCAGTGACTGCTGAGTCTCAGAGAAAGGTGGCTTTGGGTGAGGGGTCTCATCAACACAATGGAGTAAAGAAGATGAAGCCTTCCTCTCAGCAGTGCCCGGCAAAAGGACGAGAGGCAGGTGCCACATGTTGAAATACAGGAAATCCCATTCAGCATAATGAAAAAAAACCTCAAACCCAAAACCCCAGCATAAAATCCACCCCTTTGTTTTTTACTGGCAGAGTGACCAGGAAAGGCACCAAGCTGCCCAGAAAGGTGTGGAGGCTCCATCCCTGAAGGTGTTCAAAACCCAACAGGACACTGTCCTGAGCTGACCTCGCCTGTGCAGGGGTGGGACGAGCCGATCCCTGTCAACTCCACTGCTCTGTTCCTCTGTGTTATTTACTGCCAGACAGCAACCCTCTGGCTACCAAGGGTCCCCAACAGCCTCTGTCAGGGTGTTGGGGGACCAGACCCTTTGCCCCCTCCTCCCCACCTACCGCTTCCTCCACTCCACCTGATAGGTGACATGGCTGGGCGAGCTGGGGTCCGGCTCCCACCGCAGCCACACGTGGAAGTTCTGTGCCTCCAGCCTCACGCGCCGTGGCCGCAGTAGCATCCCTGGGAGGGGGCAGAGGTGTGTCAGGCAGCGCTGCTCTGCTCTGCAGGGTCCCCTCCTTGGCCGGTCACTGCATGGTTATGCTGCACAGGTTCCCCCTCCCACAGTCCCCAGCTTCAGCTCGGCAACAGCAGGCAAACACTGACCCTGCAGCAGGATGCTCAGCACCTGCATCCCCCCAATGCCTCACACACCAAGAGAACCCTCTCCATGCCCCTGCCAAAGGCGCCGACACCCTGACACAGCTGCTGCTGACCCTGGGGTTTTCTTTCCTCTCGCAACTTGAAAACCACTCGGTCCCCTCCTCTCCACAGGTACCTTCTGTAGCTCTAAGAGGTGTCCCTGTGCCACCCCTGCCCTGCACCCAGGGTCCCCCCAGCCTGCAGCGGTAGCTCCAGCACCAGCTTACCCCAGAGGAGGGAGCAGCTGGCCAGAGACAGCAGCAGGTGCAGGGCAGGGCTCATCCCACCACGGCCCGTCCATCTGTCCCCACGCTACGCCGCCGCACCGGGGGCTGTGGCGAGGGATGGGTGTGCTGGAGCTGTTCTGCCACCTGCAGGCATGATGGGCAGCTGGGACCTGTGGTTAGAGAAAGGATATTTTTTTTGAAAAGCTTCAGCCAGCGACACCAGCCACAGGCAAGCCTTGCCCATGGAGTCTGCGTGCCCAGCGTGGCACAGAGGTGCCTGTTACGGAGAGGCTGCCGACGTCACGGGGATGTGGGTCTGTGAAACCTCCTCCCCCGATGCTCACACCACTGTGAAGGTGACTCAGCCCAGCTCTGGGCATGACTCACACTGGCACAACCGGTGACACCGCTGCCAGGACACCCCCAGCCCTCCACAGCCTCCCTGGTATGGGGAGTGCCCCGTGTGTGCCGGCACCCCACCAGGTGCAATGGGACACCCTGAGGGACCCCCTGGGGCTGTTAGCAGAGACCTCAGTCCTGTGAACCACAGCAGAGGCTTGTCCCACTGGGCACCTCTGTCTGACCTGGCCAGCCCCTCCTTACCATGGCCTTGCCCCATGATTCAGCTGCCAGGAATCTTTCCCTATTGTTGTTGGCCACAGAGGTAACCTTCCTCTCCTGGGGGAGATGTGCAAGGGCTTTGAGGCCATCAGTGCCAACCTACTGGTTGTGGGGACACTTCCGCCTGTGGGGAGCCTGGGGCCACCTCCAGAGGCAAAGGGATGGGAGAATCCCCTGGCCAGACGGGACACCCACAGGGCTGGCTCACTGCAGCTGCTGCCTCTCGCTCTTCCCATTTCACACTGACTCTGTGCTAATGTTACGAGCGCAGCCACCTTGGCAGGCAGGTACAAAATGCTGTCCCTGTTTTCTGTCCCTTGCAGCATTCAGAGCTTGAAACAAGGAGGAGCAGCCAACAAGCAGGGACATGCAGTTGCAAACCGCGGGCAAGGGCTCAGAGGCAAGACCTCTGAAACTCCAGAGCTGAAGCATAGGCAGTGGGTTTAGGGATTGCCCCCACCCCGAAGCCAGCGAGAGCCCTACCAGCTTAGCAGCAGACCCCAGTGAAGGCAGGACCGTTTCTGTCTGGAGGGAGAAGTCCCCAAGACCGACGGCACAGAACTGGGGAACTGATGGACCGGCTGCCTGCAGAGGCAGGGACAGGGCTTCTCCAGCTGCTGGAGGTAGCACAGGGGAGACAGTGCCTCCACAGCAGTGAGGGTGGCCACGGGCCAGTCCCTGCTAGCCCCACAATGACCCCAGCACACCTGCTCCCCTTCTGCCTTGGCCAGAGGGAAAACCTCAGCAACCCTCCCTGTGTTGTAGCAACTGTAAAAGTATGGCTTGGTGGATATCCCGTTGGCTGAGATTGTGGGGATTTAACCCCCTCTCCACAACATCCCCTCCTTTGCCTGCATCCCTGTTGTCATGGCACCTGAGGCACTGGTGCTCCCCCCTACCTTGACCCACGCAGTTCCTCGCTGGTCCCTGCTGTATCAGGAACCCACCTGTGCCCACCACGCTCTGTAAAACGCAACACCCTCAGCTCAGCAGCCCCACATCCGGCTCTGAGCGTTCACTGGAAGCGTCATCAGGGTCTGCTCAGTTGCCAGGCTCCCTCCAGACTGGGGACAGGTCTGAGTCCTCTGTGCCCCTGCGCTGGGAGACGTCCAATGACATGTGATTTGGCTTTGGTGGTTTGTGCTTTTTTTCCTGAGCCAGGGTTTGTTTTTTTTCCCTTCCTTCCTTGTTGGCAGCATCCCTGCGGGCCATGGGCGCTCAGCAGTGCCCTCTGCACGCCAGAGCCAAGACACAGCCAGTGCCAGCACCCTGCTGCATGCTGCCTGCACCTCATCCCAGCACCCTGCACCCCCCCTGCAGGGACCATCAGTGGCCTGGGGACAGAAAGGAGCATGGGGGTCAGGCCAGGGGCAACACAGAGCAGGGCAGACATAGGCCAGGATGTCTCTGCAAAACCAACAAGTTTTATCCTTGCCAAGACTAGTGCTGCAGTCTGGACACGCAGGGCTGAGACCATAGCTCTGCCCTAGAGACCCCAAGGGACCTGCATATGGTTGTGCATCACCCCACGAGCCCTGGGCCTTTGGCAGCCCATTGGGATAGAAAGCAGCCAGACTTGAGCTTCCCAAGAGCTGTTGCAACCACTAAAGGACTCATGGAGCCATGGATGGCAGCATGTGGAGCTTGCTGGCACTCTTCAGCGCTGCCAGGGGCCGAGCAGTCACCATCAGCTAGGGCATTCCAAAACAAGAGGCCCACAGTGTCCAAGTGCCACACGTGGGGTCAATGCCAGCACCTCCACTACTGTGCCTGCACTGCTCCAAGAGCCAGCAGCACTGGGCAGATCCCACACATCCCGAGCAGAGATGGGGCCAGTGACAGCCATCAGGAACAAGGACACATGGCCACAGCAGACTGGACAGACTCTTTAATACCACACTCATTGAGAACACCTTGTGCTTGCTGTCCACCCAGACAGCTCCCCACATCACTGCCCATGTCCACTCCCGGGGCAGAGGCCAGGCAGCTTGGCAGGGCAGGTGGCAGGGGCGATCCCTCCCAGACAGAAGGGGAAGAAACAGGCAGGAGATACTTTATCCAGTGCTACAAATGCTCTCAGAGCAACAGCTCCTTCCGGAGCTGCACACATGGCAGAGCCCAGCACCCCTTACCCCACAAAGCACTTCTGGTGAGGCGGGCGTAGGGCTCAGCCCAGCCCCCTCAGCCTCTCTCCCTTTTTGGTTAGAGGGCAGTGGGAATGCTGCAGCCGACCAGGGGGGCTGTGGGGGCTGCCAAGCCTGGGTGCAGCAGGCACAGTCCAGTCTTGTGGGCAGGGTCAGGCCAAGGAGGACCCTCATGTGCCCAGGGGGGCCCCAAGAGGGGCTGAGTGGCTGCCCCCCAGCAGTCTGGCAGCATCTCCTCTGCCAAGATCACACTCAGCATCTTCAAAAGCAGCAAGGGTTACAGCACTGGCCATCTCCATGGCCAGGAAAAGGTGGATGCCCACTGCAGGCAGGACGTCCTCAGCCTGCAGCACCGGGGCTCCTGAGGGACTCAGGGAGGGCAGGTGTCTCCCTGACAGAAGGTGCTGCAGGGATGAAGAATCCAACAGCAACAGCCCGGCTGCCCCATGGCCGGAGGCATCGCCAGCTGCTCCCAGGAGGGTGCAGTGGGATGCAAAGGGAACATCAGCACCTGCCACTGCCTCGCTGGGCACCACCCTCTCTGTTCCTGCTTCCCAAGGCTAAACTTTCCCTGGCAAAACCCATCCTCCGAAGGCCTTCTCCAGGTACCGGGCCACCGCCAGCGTCAGGTGGTCGTTGTAGGCGGCTGCCACCAGCTGGATGCCCAGTGGGAGCCCCTCGCTGCCCAGCCCCAGCGGGCACTGTGTCACCGGCAGGCCCAGGACATTGAAGATGGCTGGAAGAGAAAAGGATGGATCAGAGTGAGCACAGTGACCAGGATACACCACTGCCTGGCTCTCCCACCCCGGGCGTGTCGTGTTACTCCTGGGAGCTGGTGCTTGACACAGTGGTGCTAAGACATGGTGACAAGGGATATCACTGGCCAGAGGTTCCCAGTGCACACATCGTATCTGCAAATAGCACCTACGAGGGATGGCATGCCAAGATCTGGTTTGGGACTCTACTCCTCCATCCCTCCAAAGCCAGGCAGCACTGACACCAGCACTAGCACCAAGGTGCTCGGGCCACAGGGAAGCCATGCAGGGAGCCCCAGACTGTACCCCAGGATATGCTGGCTCTCAGGTTCCTGCTAAACCACAGTGGTAGCTGGAACACCTCTGGGGCACACTGGCCCCTGAGATTAGACATGTCACTCAGACCTGCCCCGCTGTGGACAGCGGGTGAAAGATGCCACGTGGCACAAAGCGTGACAACCCCTGTTGTGGAGCAGCCAGACCCCTCTCTGTGCTGCACAGCCCACCGTCAGCAATGGGAACACTTTGGGTACAACACCCTGGCTGCCAGCCTGGGCAGCCCTACCTGCACCCTACAAGAGCCAGAGCTGCTCACCCGTGTAGGCGAAGTTGAAGGGCATGCAGATGGGGGAGTGGTGCTTGGGGGCGATGGTGGGGTGTGAGGGGTAGAGGAGCACCCCGTCCTGCCCCAGCAGCGCCTCCATCTCCTCCTGCAGGCTCTTCCCCATGCTCACCAGCTTGGCATTCCCACTGTGGTTGAGCTTCATCAGCTTCTCCGTCAGCCCCAGGGCTGCAGGGAAAGGGTACAAATAGGGACATAGAGCGAGAAGACTGTGGGCTACGTGGGGCAGAAAGCGCATTGCCTGGCCACATGCAGCATCCCCCAGTCCTAGTGCACCCCCCAAGTCCCCCTGCCCACCAGTACTCACAGCAGATTGCCCCTGGCATGACTCTTTGGGCAGCATCCCCCCAGCTCTGCCAAGGGACAAGCTTTCAGCCTGCCCCTCATTTCCAGCTTTTCCAGGTGCTGGGGTTGAGCAGAGCTGGCAGAGTCACCTCAGCACTCATTAGACAACAGCCCAACTGCACTGATTAGGGTTCTCTGGTACCTGCTGCTATGAAATCAGATCAGTGCAGACCCTGACTGGCTCCCTCTAGACTCCCCAGCAGTTCTGACAGGGCTCACAGCAGGAGTTCATCATCCTCACCTAGGATACCCACTTCCATGCATCAAAGATCCAGCCAACTCTCCCTCAAGCTTGAAATGTGACTCAAAGACACTGAGTGTCATTACAAAACCAGGCTGAAGCTGCTCAGCACAAACCCCAAGTCCCTTTGCTAGGCACTGGGACTACCTGCATTTAACAACTCATCCACCCCACCACTGCCTCTGCACTTCCCAGAGCTCCCCCCAGCCTCACCAATAGCTGGGAAGGTGTGAGAAGACATCCCCACGAGCCACTTCATCAGCTCCCACAGCGGCCACACCGGCTTCCCGTGGTCCCCCAGCAGGTCTGTGAATCGCTGTGCCTCCTGTAACACACCCACTCCCCCCGTCAGCACTGCCAGCACACAGCAGGGAGGCACAGGCTGCAAGGGACAGTGAAATTCCAGCTGTCCCGTTATCCTGATGTGAGCCCTTCCCATTTTCACACAGGAGATGCCCATCAGGAGTGCTCCACAGCTCTAGCACTGATCCAGGGTGGCAGCAGGGGCATCTCTCCCTGCCAGAAGCAGGAAGAAGGAGAGGAAGAGCCTCCCAAAGCAGCACCTTCCAGCACCCAATGGGCATGATGCAAGGGATGATGTCCAGATAATGTCCAGGCATTTACTCCTATGATATGGTCATGGGACCAGGAAGGAGGCAGAGGAGCCAGATGTGCCCTCCTTAGTGCATGGGGCTGTGTTGTTTCCTACCACTCCCCGCGTGCCAGGAATGCACAAGGTACGACACTCCTGAGAGGGTTTTTCTCTATAAAATACCTCCCTGCATGCACAGAGCATAGCACAGTGGCTGCAATTCAAGGGAAATGTAACACAGGCAGGCCTGCTGCTGGAAAGCTGCTAATGCCCTGCTTGTCCTGGCATCCTAAAAGGTGTTAATCCCAGCCTGCAACGTCAGAAGACACAGCACAGAGCCAAGAGTGAGGCAGGACGATCCGTGCTGGGGGAGCATCCTTACCAACCTGCATGAAGGTCAATGTGTCAAAATGACCTTCCCCTCCCTACACCACATTGCTCCTCTGCTGGGAGTCATGGCCTCATCCCATGGGAGAGCAAGGGAGAAGGGGCTGTGTGTCTTTGGGAAGAGATGAAGGGAGGACTGGGGGGACAAAAGGAGCAGGGAAAGCCCTCAGGCAGGTCTGGAAAAACTACAACTCTCCACTGCTGGCCCCAGGCAGCTGATTCTTCCCTGTTGCCACCAAATTTGTGCCTTTGCCAGCTCGGTCTGACGCACCTCTCCATTGCTGTCCTGGGACGACATCATGGCTGACCAGATCTGGAAAGAATACTTCATCTTGTGGATTGACACATGCTGAACTCGGACCCCCAGGTCGCTTTCGATGTGCTCCACCACCTGAAGGGACGAGTAGGAAGGGTTTGTTTCCATAAGGTTGTGAGGTGCTGCCATCAGCCCATGGAAAGTACAGAGAAGAGGGCAAGGGCATCTGCTCACAAGATCTTCTTGTTTCTTCTTTAGCATAGAAGAAAAGGTTCTTTCTACTTTTTAACCCCTGGAAGCACAGGACTGGAACAGAAAGCTGCCTCCCCAGCCCTCCATCCTGCCAGTCCCCACAGGAGCCACACACAGAGCAGCTCCCTCCCCTCCCCAGGGCTCCTCTGACTGGTGTCCCCAGGTTCTATCTTCGGGCTCACCCCAGCGAGAACCAACCTCTGCTCCTTCCTACCTTCTTTTGGGCCTGCAAGATCTCCTTGTCCACAGGTGACACAAAAACGGACCCGCCGTCGTGATCCATGCAGTGGAATTTGATTTTCTCCAGTGACACTTTCTCGTTCAGTTTCAGCCTGGGAAAGGGGCTTTGTCACAGACCCATCCCTGGCTCCTCCCCAGCTGCCAGAACTGCTCACACACATGTTAATGTGTCCTCAGGAGACACTGCTCTGCCTCCCAGGGTGGCAACGTCAGACCCTGAGGACACCCAGACACCTGCTTCCCACAGTCTACCCAGCTGCTCTCCCGCCCCGGCAGTCCCAGCAAGTTCCCGTTGGGAAAATTCTTATCTCTCCAGAAGAACCTTGTGATTACAAACCCCGTCCATGGCCAAGGCTGGGATTGCACAAGAGCCAGGGAAAAACAGAAGTGGTAATGGAGACAACAGCCCCTCGCAGGCTGTGGCACAAAGGAGGGCTGCCCTGTCTGCCCCATCTCTGCTTTGCTCATCACTGGCACCTGCCACAGCTCTTGGTTACACAGACCTATGCAGGAACCAAACTGACTGTGGTGTGGGATGGAAAACTCATCATTCAGCAACAGGAAAAAGGCCCTGTAACACCCAGGAGCAAGGCCAGTCCTGGGAGGGGAGGGCCACGTGGGACAGCACTGAGAACCAGCTTGCAAGAGGGAACCAACAGTCTGCTCATGGCTGCCTGTTCCCCAGAGCACGTGGGTGGTGGGAAGGACAGTCCCAGCTGCGAAGGTCCCGTTGAAGCCAGCGGCAGAGGAAGGAAATCAGTAACAAACAAACTGGGTGGGGTGCAGATCTGTCTCGTACAAAGGACTGACCCACTGTGCAGACCAGAGAGCTGCTGACTCCAGCTCAGCAGCCAGGAGCAGTGGGAGCAACTCACTTGCTGACCCCGGGCCCGGCCATGATCCTCAGCACAGGCTCCAGGTCCTCGGCATAGCGGCACATGGGTCCCGTGCACAGGAATCTGGTCCGTGCCCCGTGAGCGTTTGGGAACTGGCCGTCGTTGGGCACCACCCCTGCGAGCAGAGAGACCTTGGGTACCACCTTGAGCATCACCCCCAGCCAAGGGCAGCCCTGCTGGGGGGCTCTGGGCACAGGGCGACGTGGTTCCTCAGGGACTGCACACCTCACAAGGGCTGATGGCAAGGTGAACGGGGTGGGGAAGGGAGGAAAAGCACCCAGCCAGGATACTGAGAGCCAGAAAAACATCCCAACCTTGAGAAAACATCCCATGCTGAGGATGCAATACCTGGGTAAAACCCCTCCCTGTCTCCCACGCTCCTGGCATTCTGCCACCGAAGGCTTCCTGCTGCAAAGCCCGGCTGTGCTCCCGCAGGGGGCTTGTCCCATGCAAGGAGTTACCTGACCCCTTACAGCAATCCCACCAGAGACCAGCACAGGGGTGTCCCAGACGAGTTCATCCCACAGCCCCCATTCCACCTCATGGCATTTCTGCTGGGGAGGAGGAGACCCCCACACCCCCTTACCTGTCGTGGGTTTGTGGCCGAAGACTCCGTTGAAGAAGGCGGGCATCCGGATGCTGCCACCGATGTCAGAGCCCACGCCTATGACTGAGCAGGCAGCTGCCAGGACACCACCCTCCCCACCTGCACAGGAGACAACATGGCAAAACCCCACAGGTTTATGGTGCAAGTCATCTAGCAAAAGCAGGAGCACCTCACAGTGACCCAGAGGGGCGGGGGCCATGCCTGCTTTAGCAGTGGCTGGGGGACAGCTGGGGAATTTTGGCCAAAGGGATATTTCTGCCAAAGTAAGACAGAGTGAGCCTAAGCAATGCTAGGTAAAACACTCACAAGGGACAAAGCAGCTGGACCCCCAGCAGCCCAACAGCAGTGCCAAGGGAAGAGGCCTGTGAGCTCTGCAGGGGCCCAGGGACGCATTAAAGCCACGTGCAGAGATTTGCAACCCTTCCCCTGCTGCATTTTAAACCCGTCGGTCATGCAGGACCATGCCAAGATGCCGGGGCTCACCTGAGCTGCCACCCACGATCCTCTGCAGGTCGTAGGGGTTGTTGGTCCGCCCGTAGACCCTGTTGCTGGACTCATACCACATGCAGAGCTCACTGCAGTTGGTGACACCCAGTGGGATGGCACCGGCCTGCTTCAGCCGCGACACCACCGTGGCATCCGAGGTGGCGATCACGTTGCGGCGGTTGACCAAGCCGGAGGTGTTGGGCATCCCTGCGGTGCCAAGGTTGACAGGAAGGTGTCAGGGCCAGTGCCCAGACACCACCCGGGGCTGCAGGAAGGAGGTTTCCAGCGAGGGCTGCTCCTCTGAGGCACCACAAGCTCTGCAGCACCTGTGTGCTACTAGTGAACACGGACACAGAAGCCCAGGCAGAGCTTGGTGCAGACCAAGGGAAGGGAAACTGCTTCCCTCTGAGCACCTGCCACAGCCACCCACCATCCTGGGGTGGCGAGTCACAACCTGTGAAGCGGAGAGGAACAAAGGCAAACCCACCGTGGAGAGAAAAGGCCTCCTTGACAGTGATGGGAACTCCCAACAAGGGGAACTTCTCCTCCAGATAGTCATCGCCAGGGCCTTCTGAAAGCAGCTTATCGACCTGCTGGGCTTCCTGCAGGGCCTCCTCAAACCTGCAACGAGGCAGCGGGCGATGTTCTGGCACTGGACCGGCGAGCAGCGGGGTCCCCGCAGGGCGGGCAGACCCCAACTGCAGCAAGAGCTTGTGACGGGAGGTGAGACCCCCCGGTCTGTGCTGGAGCAGAGGGCACCGTCCCGGCTGAGCCACGGCCGGGAGCACCGCACCCTCGGTGCGGAGCATCGCCCCGGTCTGAAGGAGGGGGCAAGCGGGGAGCCCAGCACCCCCTCAGCCGCGCCCTCCGCTCACCTGTCCTTGACGACCGCGTTGATCAGGGGGTTCACCTCCTTGATCCTCTCCACGTACGCCTCCACCACCTCGATGCAGGTCACCTGGGCACGGACCACGGGCGGGAACCGCCGTCAGGGGCGCGCTGGGGCGGCCGGGACACTCCCGGTACCCCCCGCACCGTCTCGGCCGAGACTCTCCGAGGGGGACACAGCGGTCACAGCCCCGTGGCTGCCCCCCGGGGCCACTCCCGGTCCTCGCTGTCCCCCCCTCCTCCCCCACCCCGGGTGGTACCTGCCGTGCCCGTTCCCCCCCCTCCCCGCGGGGGCGCAGGGTGGTACCTGCCGCGCGCGGAGCAGCGCCGCGAGGCGGCGCGCGGGCAGCAGCAGGAGCTCGCGCCGCGGCGGCGGGACGGCGCGCGCGCCGGGGCCGGGCCCGGGCGGCGGCGGGAGCAGCGCGAGCAGCGCGAGGCAGGCGCGCGACAGCAGCCGCAGCAGCAGCGCGAGCCACCGCTCCGCGCGCGACAGCGCCATGGCACCGGCCCCACCGCTGCGCGCGCCGCGCCCCGCCCCCGGGGCCGCGCGGAAGTGACGCCGTCTCCACGGCGACCGCGCCCCGCCCCGCCCGCGGCCTGTGCGCCGGGCCCGCGGCCGGCGCCGCCTGACACGGGGGGGCCGCGCCGGCCCGTACCTTCCCCCGGGCAGCGTAGCGCTGCCCCGCGGCGGAGCCGGGGGGCACCCACTCTGCCCGTCCCGGGTCGTCCCGCCCCTCCGCTCCGGAATTACCCCCAGTGGTTTCCTTATTACCAAAGGCTTAAAAAACCCCACAGGGGGTTAGCAAGGACGCGCAGAAAGCTGGAGTGGTTTTGCCGGCTGTGTCGGATGCGTGTTGTAACCGCCAGTGAACCCGAGCTGAGGGGACAGCGGCTCTCCCGACGTGCGGACTGTGCGGGGACAGCGAAACCCGCCCCGGGAAGGGGCTGCGGCGACAGCCTCACCTGGGCAGGTGCGGCGGCAGCCTGCGGGGTGCTGAGCCCGGCACCTCTGGGTGCATCCCGGAGGTTCTGGGGCTGATCCCGGCACCATTGGGCACATCCCTGGAGCACTGGGGCCGAGCCCAGCACCGCCGGGTGCACCCGCAGTGCCCTTGGGCTGCCCTGCTGGTCTGTGGAGGAGACACTTCCCTTTCCTGCAGAGGTTGTCTGTCCACATCCAAAAGCCTGTCCTCAGGGTCAGGCTGTGCACACAAACACGCTTGTGGGGTGTTACCGACCTATGGGGCATTAACACCGATCAGTTTAAAGTTGACACCTAATTATAACGTTCTTCTGCGTTTTAAACACCAAGCCTCATTCTCAAGCTTTCTAATAAAAGGCAACCATTATCACACTTATTGTCAAACATGCACTGAGTTTTTCAGGTGCTTGATTATGGAATCTGGAAGAGACTGGATAATACTCAAACCTCAGGACAAAAGTTACAAGAACTGGTAATGCTGGGGGGGGGGGAAATCCTGTCTTTTAAAGCAAGGATTTAAGCAGCATCTGAGTGGGCCTTACTGTATCTCTTCCCTTCCACAGAGTTGGTGATTGAATTATCAGTGCGAAGTGGGGCAGGCGAGGGGATACATTCCTTGTGAAAATCTTTTACAACTGCAAAATCAACACATCAGCGTTTATGGGACAATCTGCAGCTCACACGCCCTGGGAGGGCATCGACCGACCTCTGTCCCCTAAAACCTAAGCTTATATGGAAGTCATCCTGATAGTAGTTCTATTTTCACAAACTCTTATCAAAGAACTTTTCTCCTTGCTTGATGCAAATGGAGGAAAGGAAAGAAGAGAAGGGAAGGGGAAAAGCCGCTTTCCTGCTTGGGGTTAGTTTCCTGTGCCCTGGGAAAGCACGGACAGCAGCTTTGTCTGCCTGGGTTTGGTCACCAGGTCATCAGCCTGAGGGGCTCCCAGCTGTAAAAGGTTGGGGTGTCCTGTGCTCTCTCAAGGACAAGGGAAACTCTTGTCCTCTGCTGATTTTAATTCCCCAGCGTCTTCGTTTCCCTTGGCAGGTTGTCCGTGACCACAGACACCAGCCAGCCCAGGGGCAGGTCCCAGCAGTGCTGTGCTTGATGGCTGATGGTGCACAGGTGGCTTAACAGCTGCTTTTCCACTGCTCTGACACTGCTGGAATGCCTGTGACCTTACCAAGGCCCTTAGGTAGCCTTTGCCTTTCCCCCCACAATATCTAATCACCCCCACCCCCTCGGGTTACAACAGGATTGTGCATGGGCCCAAACCTTTCCTCACACCTGTGTCTCTGCCATTGCAGCTCACAGAGGCCCAGAGTCCCCTGCTGAGGAGCAGTGGTAAGTCAGGGTTTGCCAAATCTCGGGCGGTGTTGGTGGTTGCATCTTCGGCTTTGCCAGGCCCAGAGCCAGGCATGGCAAGGCTCCCTTGGAGCTCAGAGGTAAGTCAGGTGTCCTGCAGGTTTCTTCCAGAACTAGAATGGTAAAACTCCTCTCGATGGAGAAGGGAGAGGACAGCCCTCCCAAATGTAATCCCAGCACTGCTTTTGTCATTTTTTTTCCTCCATTTCTCAGTGGATTTGCCAGTACTTCCCCCTCAAGTTCTTTCCAAATGTTGGCAGAGAGGGGTATGAACCAAGCCACTTCTGTCCTGGGTCTCTGCTTCCTTGCTGCTCTGCAGAGACCTTCCCTAAACTCTGGCATTTATTTTCCGAGGAAAGTGTCTCCCTTAATCTTTGTCTTTCAGGGTTTAAAGAACAGGGCTTTGAAATTCACACTGGATCAGCTGCTAGTGGGCTAGAAGGTGCTCTAAAAATAAAGCAATAAGGTCCAGAAGCCTGAGGTTGAAGTGATTGGCACTGCTTTTCAGTTACCAGCTGACAGAGCAAACACCACCCTGGCTAAGAAACCAGTTAATTCCAAACTGATTGCCAAGAGCATGGGGGCTGGAAATGCAGAGTAAAGCTCACCCATCCAGACCTGTCCCACTGCCTTATCCTAAGGGACACCAGCTGCTTAGAAGAAAAACACGATCCCAGGTCTTACACTCTGGAAATTATCCCCAGTCATTTCATCATTACCAAAGGCTTAAGAAACCAGAAGCAGTTAGCAAGGACAGACAGAAAGCTGGAGTGGTTTTGCCGACTGTGTGGATTCGTGTTGTAACCACTAATTGCCCGGGAAGCCACGGAACAGGCTCGGCAGCAGAGCGTGAGGCGAGTGGGAAGAAGAGCCACAGTCTGGCTGCCTTCACAGTGCTCTCCAAAGCTCTCTTGGATCTTGTCACCACTGGACAAGAAACACCTTTCATGAAATTAAAAGAAGAGAAAGAGCCTGACAGCACAATTCTTTGTGAAAGGAGCCCTTTGAAACTTCTCCTTAAAATAAAGCTTCAGAAGAAACCTGGAGTTTATGTAGCACAGTGCTGGGGTGGGGAGAGAGGAAAAGGGTGTTTAAAGGTTCAGGTTTAAACACAGCAACTCAGATGCTTAATTGCCAGCTGATCCCTGGAAAAAAACCCCAACCAAACAAACAAAAAAGTCCCCCGAATTTGATGGCAGTTCTTCCAAGCCTGCCCTTATCCAGATCCACCACAGAGGGATGCTGTGGTCCGCGTTTCCATCAGCTGTCTTCTTGCCCGCTGGCCCAGGACCCGGCAGCGTTGGGCAGCTGCTAGTTGGGTGCCCGTGCTGCACACCCGGGGCTGGCAGAGAAAGGGCTCTGACCTTGCCTCGCCCTCGCTGCGGTCACGGGCCTGGCGGGACACAGGAGGTACCCAGCCTGAACACCCCACTCCTGGAGGGCAGGAGGGCCCGAGGGGATCCCATGCTGCCTGTCTGGGAACACAGCAGTTGGCACGGCCGAGGTTTTGGTACAACGCTGCTGTGGGGACACCGCCTGCAGACCCACCGGCAGGGCAGCTCGGCGCTCTCCCCGCTCTCCCTCCATCCCGGCGCGGCTGCAGCAGGGCTGTGCCACACCAAGCCTTGCGCTGCACGGCAGCCGGAGGGACAGTCCTGGATGCAGCCAGACCCGCTGGCAGCCGGGGGACAGCTTCCCTTCAGAGCAGGGTGGCGGGGCAGGGAAGGCGGATGTTTTGGGACTCCTCTCTCCCGCTGCCGCCGCAGTGACGGCGCTGAGCACCCCGCGGTCGGGACCGTGCCACGGGAGGTCGCTCTGCCACCGCCGCTCGGTGTCCCTGGCCCCTGCCCCGCAGCGCCGCATCTGTTCCCTCCGCACCGAGCCAGGGTACACTGTGTTCAGTGTCCTTGATTAAACAAAATGTTTATGCGTGCCTCTGCTCCGGCAAACATCTTGGCGGCTGCACGAAGCCTGCTCGCTGCTGCCGCCCCAGCTGCGCTGGAACCGGGGCAGAGTCTGTGCAGTGCTTCAGAAGGTGGATGGCCTTCCTGGGGTGGACCCCACTCCTGGAGCACCCCGCTCGATCTCTGCACCCCAGCCATTGCAACGGGCCTTGGCTACTGGGGAAGGCTGAGCCCTGTAGCCCCTTGGTGCCAAGGGGAGCTCCTGGCTCCTTTGAGAGGCTGGGGGCAGTCATGCTTTGCCTCCTTACCCTGGGAGTTGTGACACCCCATGAACCCACCACCCATTTCCCACTTGAGCAGAGCTTTGGAGTGCATCTTGAGGATTCAGGATCAGCTAAGAAATTTCCTGGGCTCCATGGTGCCTCCAGAAGTGCAGAACACCATGACACTTTGACTTTTTGACACCCTCCTGCTGCGCCTGCTGATCTGCCCATGTTCAGCACCATGGGGTCGGGTGGGCATCGCCAGCCCTGGCTGGGGCAACTGCAGGGTTCACACTGGCTCCTGGGGGTGACCTGACTGCAGCTCCACGTCCCCTGTCCTGCCCAACCAGCATTGTCTGGGATGTGCCCGCTTCCTTCCCTGCCCAAGGGGACTGTGTCTGCCAGTTGTGCACATCTGGAGTTAACTGGGGACAGGCTGGCCCTGCCGTGTCATCTCTCAGGCATTGTACAGCTGCTGGTCTATGCCTGCAGGGCAGCCCTCAGCCAGATGTGTTGTCTATGCCTGCAGGGCATCCCTCAGCCAGATGTGTTGACAACACAGTCGTGCTCTTGCTCCTGCTGATACCTCCAGACCCCTTCAGACCCCTCCCCAAGCCATGTCCCCTGTGAGAACAGATCAGCATGCCCTGGGAAAGGGGGGACCAGCCTGTTGAGGTAATTTACAATCCTGTCAGAAGAGACTGAGGGAAGTGATCTGCAGGACTGAGAGAGAGCCAAGAGCAAAGCTCAGAGTTCCATCCTTGAATTCAGGAGGAAAGGAGAAGAAAATGTTGATGGCCATCAGGAGCTGATGACCACTCAGGTGCTGATGGGCCACTCAGATGATATGGACCCACACTGGACTCCCGGCCTGGCTCCCTGCCTGGGACAGGCCTCAGGAGTGTTTCCCAAGAGCATGGGCTTTCAGCAGAGCAGGTTGCCCAAGCAGCTTGCATGCCCCTGCCAGGCTGTGTGCCATGGCTCTTGCGAAATGGTGTTGATAAACACTCTGGGGCATGCCAAGTCCTGCGGGACAACAGCTGGTGTGCCCGGGCTGCAGGGAGTGCCTGCACGGTGAGAGGAATTTTCCACTCCTCTCTGGAAAGTGTGTCTGACCCCGCTGGGAGACTATCCCCAGCAAGGCAGACTTACCTGCTGATGTCCAGCTGGCTTGTCTGGCCCAAGAAACCCCCCAAGCAAGAGCTGTCCTTAGGCACATGGCAAAGCAACGGGTGGTCAGCTCACCTGAGACATGGTGGCACTCTATGGGGCTGGGCTGGGTCCTACCATCCCCAAAGAGACACCACCACCCCCATTTCACCATGGGGCCGTTCTTGTGTCCTGGCAATGAACTGCCCCTTAGCTTCCCCTTTCCAAGCACATGGGCCAAACTGGGGTGAGCTGTGTGCTGCTCTGGTTCCTGTCCCCAGGACTTGCCTTCTTGTGATTCTGGTTCTCTTTGCATGTCTCCTGAGGGCACTGGGTAACCCTTGCCAAGGCCTTCCAGGCTGCCTGGGCCAACTCTGCCTGGCTGTGTCTTCTGGCATGTTGGAAATACCTCAAAGACCAGTGTGTTTGTGGTATGAAGAGGGTGTATAATTAGCATTACGAGAGCCCAATTTAATTTGACCAGTGTGTCCCAGAGCTGCAGTTCCTTTGGCCTGCCCTGCCATCCAGCTGTGCTCTCAACAGGAGAGTGAAAAGCTCGTGCCAGGCAGTCCAGGCCTGGCCAGTGTACCTGTGCACAGTGCCACATGTGTCCCTGTCCCCCAGTGCAGCCTGGCATGTGCTGTGCCCTACCACCCCAGCACCTGCAGGAGATGGGCGTTTCAAACCCTGGCATCACACATGGCTTTCCACAGTGTCCCCAAGGGTCCAGAACTGTGCTGGTGAAGGAGGGGTATAAAGGGTATTTGGAAAGCCTGTGAGTTCCTACCAATAGCCACAAACACGTGTGGTATCCACAGCTGCCCGCGCAGCAGGAAAATCCCATTATTTGGGGCACCACTGGTAATCACCAGCAGCTGGTCTCTGGAGAAACACGACCGTTTCCAAAGGCCTCTGTCCCCTCCCCTCCTGTGGACAGTCACCAGTGTGAGGATGCACATGAACCAGGATGGCTGGGTCGCCCTGTGCTCCTGAGAGCAGGGAGCCCTGGGGCCGTGCAGGGCTATCCTCCCTGTGTTCCAGGGGTGATGGGAATTTGTTGCTATGTGAAAATATCCCATGGAGGCATTTCTGCTTCCCTTCAGGTACCAGGTGGGCAATGCACTCGTGTTCATCAGGCTGCAGATGACCTTGTGCTCTGTGCCATCAATGGCAAAGGAGCTAAACGTCAGCCAACACCTGGAGAGGGAATGGGGGGTTGGGTCACAGGTCTCCTGTGGGGACAGGATATTGGGGATGATTCCTCTGGGAGGACTCTGCTTTCCTTCCTTCCTTCCTTCCTTCCTTCCTTCCTTCCTTCCTTCCTCTCTCCCTCCCTTCCTCCCTCTCTCCCTCTCTCCCTCCCTCCCTCCCTCCCTCCCTATCTCTCTTCCTATCTTCCTTTCTTCTTTCCTCCCTTTCCCCTTTCTTCTTTCCTCCCTTCCTTTCCTCTCCTTGTTTCACTTTCCTCCCTTTCTTCTTCTCTTTTGCTGCCACTTGAACATGTCCCTACTGCCACCCTGGTGCTCCTGAGTCCATCCCCCTGGCATCTGGGCTGGCAGTCCCAGAGCTGCTCACAGCCCAGAGCTGCTTATACCGTTTCCCACCCAGCTGCTGTCCTGTGCCGTGCGTGGTGGCTGTGCCAGCCCAGTCAGGCTGTGGTGGAGCAGCACCACTCACCCTGTCTCTGATCAGGGTCCCCTGTCACTTCCCATGTCCCTGCAGCCTCCAGGCTGGATCAGGGTGTGGTGGGAGCTGAGACAGTGGTGGGGTGATGGGATGCACTTGCTGAGGCTCCTGCTGGGAGCACACCCTGGAAACGGGTATATGCAGGGGTCTGACACTGTGTGGTAACCCACTCTTTTTATGGAGACAGTGGCAAGAGAAAGAGGGACTTGTGGGTTGCTCACGGCAGCAGACAGAGGAACACTGCTGTCTCCTCTTGGCCCCAGCTTCTGGCATCGTGTCTTGTGCATGTAGGCAGAGGGGGGGGGGGCAGCACAGCCCTTGGTGCCTGCACATCTCCACTGGGGAGAGACAGAGCTTGGCCAAAAGGCAGCAGCAGCAGCAGCGAGGCCCGTCCTGCCCCCGGGTGCTTGGGACGTGCTGTTCTCTCGAGCGATGATAAGGACAACCAATAATAAAAGCAGGCAGATGGGACACGAGCCCGGCCTCCAGCCAGCGACCTTCAGGAGCTGGGTTACTGGAGCAGGCGCAGGCGTTTTGGCAGTGGCCAGAGCCAGCGGCACGTCGGGAGCCAGCGCAGGGTAAACACGCGTGCGGACAGCGCTGCCTGAGTGCGCAGCCGCGGCCCTTGCCCCCCTGGCATGTGGCCCTGAATATCCCTGGGCATTGCAGTGGCTCGTGCACACCCCGTGCACCTTGATAACGAGCTGGGATGGCAACGAAGCTCCACAGAGCACAGGGCTGTGTGTGCCGGCGTCCCTGCTCACCGTGCCGGAGCGTGGCCCAGCGGCTGCGCACTCGGGCGGGGGAGGCACGGCCAGCCAAGCCTCCAGAGTAACCCTGAGCACTTACATAACCACTTGCCTGCACAAACCACTGCACAAACATGACCCACTCACCGCCGATCTCAGCAAGATCCTGATAAAGCAGAAAAACAGCGAACCTCGGCCCAGCGCCTGGACGCAGCTGGCCGGGGCTGCTCGGGGCTGTGACGTGCAGGAGTCTGCAGTGCCCTTGCTAAGCCACCGTGGGGCTTCAGCGCTGCGTAACAGCCTGGAAGGTTCGAGCTGGCTGAGCG